TATACAGCTAAATTATCTATCAATCCATAGCTATAGATCAATAGGCAGATATAGATATAAACATAAAACCCTCCCTTATATTTTCACCTATTTTTTCTCTCCAGCCCTCCTGAATCCCCTAGTCCATTGCTGGTTGTTGTTAGTAAAGCATGCACTCACTCACTCCTTTTCAGTGTTATTCTCCACGTTAGAAGTTCGTTTGTTTTGCAGTCAGTTACCCCTGGACCTTCCTGGATAATTCTGAGGTTTTTTTTTTTTTTTAGCTATTTAACCCAGTAATCAAACCTTATTATATTTTAGTCCTGTTTGTAGGAGTCTTTAATCATGGTGAGGCACTTTCATTCTTGGCGCAAATACCTATTGTCTTTTTCCAGGATCTACCCCCTGTAGGGCCCTCCAAACTTCCTTCTGTCATGACAGTTGTCTGTGCAGTTCTGCTGGTTTAAGTTACTCTGGTCCAATACTGCTCATACTTTGTAGTTCACAGGTTTTCTACAATTCTTAGTTTCTTTGAAGGAATAGAGTTTATTATCACAGTATCGTCCTGTGTGGTTTTCTGCAGAAAAAAGGTATAGATTTATAGGCACTTAAATCCTTCACTCTCTTTTGCAAAAAAGAAAAACATGTAATTCATTTGCCAAAGTACATCACATTACCATATAATCTGGCATGTTTTCCAAACCTTTATTAGATCCATCACCCATTCATGCAATTCTTACATTTCTAAGAATGTAATTTTTCTTTGTGTAACCTTTCAAGTGCAGTCAGTGCTTGAACTTATCATTTTCTCCATAATGTTTTTATGCAATGGCTACTTGGTCTTTCAAAACTCTCCCTTAATAGGAACCTTGACAGGTGTTAAACTAAATAACTAGTTTGCTATTGCATTTCATGCATTAACAGAGTCTCATTTTACACTGGCAATGAGGCCATTACTGTCTTTAAATCTAACTAGGTCAGATACATAATTCCAGTACATATCTTAAAGGTTCTTTTGTTTGAGAACTCCTTCTAGACTGTATTTTCTATCAATTATTGTTTTGTCAGAACACAGACACTACCATTATATAAGTATCTCAATAGGATCTGATGCAGAATAGCGAACTTGAAATACACAATCTTTAGAATGGGGAATGAAGGGAAGTCACCAATAATTGCAGCTTCCTGCGTTACTGAAGTGGTAATTCTCAGGACAAGAAGCATTGAAAGCTACATATTTGTCAATGTCCCTATGAGTACCAACAGTGGCACAGAGTAAATAATTTAATCTATAATTACACTGGTGAGGAGTTCTGAGAACTGTTTTCCCTGACTTCCCTTCCAGAAACATGGTGGGGATGATTCAATGTTGAAAACAGACAGTTTTGCTTATTCCTTTGTACGTGTTTAATCTTTATATAATGGGAAAGAGGTTGGCCCAGCTGTTTGATCATCTAGCCCCGTAGTCTACATGTTCCTAATTTGAAATTGAAACAAGTATTTTTGATTCTTGGAGTCCTAGCATTACTGGTCTGTCATAATTTGGCTCCCTTTTACCGCTTCGGGCCCCTTTTCTTTCATGCATCCCTCTCTGGTCCTGACTTTATAGCGTTACTAAACTACGTGCATTTCTCTGATTATAATAGAAGTTCCCCAGTGACTGTTCCTTTGACCTAGAATGAGATTACTTCCTTTGGCCAAACTCTACCCCGCTTTCAGTACTCACATCAGAGTTAACTTACTATTTGAAAACTCCTCCCCAATTCTCATGTCCTGGCAACTTGTAGACTCATTGGCCATTGCCAAAGTTCTTTATATATGTGTCCATGAGACATGCAGTTATGTTGTTTTGTAACTGCTTATATATCCATTTTTCCCACTTGACTCTGAACTTCTTTAGTGTAGAGGACTTGTCTTGTCTTTGGACTCAAACTATTAATGTCTAGCATGAAATCTGACAAGTTGTAATCCTCGATAATTGTTTAATTTTTTTTTTTTACCTGAAGCAACTATTGTGGGTAACACAGCTAAACCTCCAGTATTTCTAACTATGTCATTCAGATTCACCTTTGAGAATATGACACAGGACCATTAAGAACACATATGCATACTTTTATGTTCATGAATAATATTGGCACTGGATATTTGTAATCTAGTATTTTTTTCCTGTCTTCTTTTAGGCTTGGTTTGCTGAAGTCTTGGGAATCAGCCATTTCATGGACACTGTACAATTCTTTATGAGCCTTCAAGATGTCCCCGTCACATCTGATGAAAATGTCACTGTGATGGAGACAACTTTCAATAATGTTCCTGTCCGCGTATATGTGCCAAACCGAAAGTCAGAGATACTAAGAAGGGGTTTGTTTTATATCCATGGTGGTGGCTGGTGTTTGGGGGATGCTGGTATGTGTTCCTTGTTAAAAGTTTTAGTTTATTATATGACACAGATTTTACTGAGATGTTGACTCCAACATATCAAGACATATATGTCAGATAACAAAACACTTAAGCTGTCTAAAATTTATTTCTTTTAAGTTATGTTTGTTTAAAGAAACTATTTTACATCTTCCTCTGAAAGAAGGAATAATCGTTATCAAAAGCTATAGAAAATCTCAGGTAAGAAGAGAAAGTATTTCATGAACTTAGAAATTTATTATTAATTACAGATTAATGGAATGTTGCCGTAAAAACAAAAATGAAGCAGTTACACAGTGGATGAAATATGAGGTAATAGAGATGGTGACTTAGCCT